CAAGAATTTTGAAGTGCTTATTCGGTAAAATATCGATTAAGTACATTATCCATAACACAAATATCGGTGGCAATATCGATAAAAATATAAATAACAATATATTTAGTATATCGACATCAAAAAACATTACGACAACGGTAAACGTTATTTTGATTCGAGTATCAAAATATTTGTTGGCAAGATCTTAAGTTGTGGATCATTGCAAAATAGTTATTTTACACCTAAATTTCTCTAAGTCCACACATGTGTATACGTGATTTTCTAGTAATTCACTTTTGCCTTTATCTTCGTTGGTTAAGAGACTTTCTTTAAGGGCATTATTCGATAAAGAGGTAGAATCTTCTTTGGACGAAGGTAATTTTTTCTGTATCCCACACTCCAAGCGGTTATAGAGAAGGCTGCCAAGCATTTAATTTATTTTTTTTACTGACGGTATACGTTGTTATACTCTAGTCCCAGAAAATAGCAATAAATAAATAATTATCCTTTAATCATTAAGTACTGCTTCTAACGTGCGCATTCGCCACCTTTTTTAAGCAGTGAAAAAAATAGAAATTTTCAGCGAAATACTGTTGCCATAGAACTTAAAAAAAGTACAAAAAAAAAAACATTCAACCATCAAGGTGCTGACTTGCGCAAAAATAAATAAAAATCGAAAACACAGGGAAATGAAAAAAACTAACAAACTTTCCGTATGCATTAGCCATTTTGCTTCCTCAACATATGAGAAAAAATAGCAAATAAAAAATAAAAATAAATGTAGCCACTTTATTGCGAGTTTAAATAGAAATAAAAAATGTTGCCAAAACGACGCGCAACTCGAAAGTACTAAAATAACAAATTCATCTGTCTAATTTTTAAAAGTGGGTGCAACTTTGAATTGAGTGAATTGCACAGAAATAGATTTTTGTGTTGATTTCCGAAAAATAAAAGTAAAAAAAATAATATGAGAAAAGTTTTTGGTGCGGACTCGTTTCGCACGTTTTATCATTCATGTTTGAATTGTATTTTTTTATTTCGCTTTTTTAATGTGGTTAGACAATTTAGCACTTTTTAGTGGATTGTCTTGAGAAGGTATGTTAAATAAATATAAGATACTAAAAATAATAATAAAGATAATTAAAAAAAAAAACTCATATCAATAAAGAGTGCTAAATTAAAACTAAAAAATAAAATTCAGAAAAATAATGTATGTACATAGTTCATAAAGAAGGTCACTTCTGTGTGTTTTTAAATAGCGTTCTCTAACGGGAATAAAAATTAGGAATAGTTATTTCTGAAAGCTACTCTGCGACCACCAATTTCAATTGAAAAACTTCTTAAAATCGACAAACTAGGAAAACCAAGAAATTACTTTTTTATCAAATATTTGGTAGAAGCTATCTACAAGATCGATGCACGATTAAGGTTGAGGTGACTGCTTTGGGCAGGGGCTCTTTGAAACTAAAAGGATTGCAGCACGAATAGCTTTCCCATCCCTACGTTATAAAAAAATGGATTTTCGTCCAACCTCTATTTTACTCCTCATTAATGACGAGACTTATGACATTGCCCCTTAAGTAGACACCTATGTACCAATGTTGTTGCTACATCAGGTGTTAGCAGAGCAACTTTTATTTATTTTTATTAAATTTTCGTTTTGTTGATCTTTCATTTCATTATCATTCGATTGGCGTAAATAACAGCGCGCGCAACACGTGAAATAAGTACCAAAACAAGGCGAGACAAACAAAATCAGATATTAAGGGCAGAGCAACAAGCGAATTGCTCGGAGGTAAGCATTTTGTGCATGCAAAAATAGGTAAATGGTTTATAAAAGCAAACTGTGTTCGTGATTAGCGCACTACTTGCACATGCATGCATAGTAAATAAGAATGTGTGTACATATGTATGTACGTAGTATCCACATGTCATCCAAATAAATACCAGATTGCCAGTGCACTTGCATCTTAAAAAATTTAAAGCCTTGCCCACAAAACGCATGTTCATACATACATACCGCGAAACGCTTTGTAAGTACTTGCATTCACACATTTGTTTTTCTTTAGATGGTTCAGTCCGGCCAGGGAGGGACATGGCATTGACAACTACCAGAAGAAGTCGTACAAGGTACTCGCACGCAAGTTATCAAAGCATTTTACAACTCTTACACGTAAATTCCTATGATAGCGCATGACACAGAAAAAATTTGAGCATAGCAGGCAGTTTGCACCCCAAAAAACAACGAATACCACAGTACCAGTAGAATGCTAACATACATACATACATGCATACATACGCATAACACAGGTTGCCTGCCGGATTAGGTATTTTGCGCACACAAAGTGCAAAATTCTTCGCAGCTTTGCATAGTTAAGTAGAGGAGTAAGGAATACCAATGCTATCCAAACTAACGCGATTTAGTTTGAGGTCATAAGCGCCCTCTACCATGTGCATTCTATTTTTCTACGACTTTCTATTACATATTTAAAGAGTGTTAAAGAGAGCATTGGTGTTGTAGCATGTTGTCCTTAAACCGTTTTATATTTGGAGGTGGTGCTGAAATGATAAAGTTGTGACAAGATTCATCACTACATACACCACTACTCTTGTTGTTGTTGTAGCGGCACTACTAAGCCCCGCCTGTTTCGGATCAACTTTCATCATTATCGTCAAGCTCAACTAACGGTAGGCCCAGGAAACGAGCTGTTTCGATGGGGTCGGACCAAAGGGAGAGGGGTGTTAGTTGAGTCGGATTGAGCTGGCATGTGAAGAGGTGGTTGGTGTCGTGGGGGGAGTCTCCACATGCCGGGCACTCATTTGGGATGTTTGGGTCAAGTCTGGACAGGTAGCTGTTTAGGCGGCTACAATATCCAGACCGTAACTGAGCCAGGGTAACGCGGGTCTCTCTAGGTAGTTGAAGCTCCGTCTCTTCGACAGGTGGTGATTGGGCTCCGACATTCCTAGGCCGGGAGTCGAGGTAGGTGAAGACAGACTCCCTATGAATGTCGTTAATCTCTCGTCTGTACGTCATTGGGTCCAGTGGTTGGTCTGTGTGGGTCTGGACTGCGTCCTTGTACACGAATAGGTGCCCCCTGACGTGCCTGGGCGGGGGCCTTTCCTCCAGCAGTGGTCTGTTGGGGTGTTCACTTCTGTGACACCCCACAAGAAACTGCTTACAGAGCATCTTGTTGTGTTCCCTTACGGGGAGCACTTGGGCCTCGCTGTGTAGATGGTGCTCAGGCGTCATCAGAAGGCACCCAGTCGCTGTCCGGAGTGCGGCGTTCTGACAAGTCTGTAGCTTCGCCCACTGCGTCCAACTAGTCCCCGGTGACCAAACTGGCGCAGCATAATTTAGAACCGGCCGGCCAATTGCCTTGTATGTTGCCAGCAACGTTTCTTTGTCTTTGCCCCAAGTGCTGCCGGCGAGCGACTTGAGGACCTTGTTGCGGCTCTGTACTTTGTTGACAACTGCGGTTGTGTGCGCGGAGAAAGAAAGCAGGCTATCAAAGGTAACCCCTAAAATTGTCGGGTTGTTCACCGTCGGTATAGGTGTGCCGTCGACGTGAATGCCTAATTCTAGCCTGACCTCCTTCGTCCAGGTGGTGAAGAGGGTCGCCGTTGATTTCGTTGGGGAGAGGGTCAGGCTCCTTGCAGTGAAGAAGCGAGAAGGGCTGGAGAGATAGCCGTTTACTTTTGAGCAGAGGTCATCAATTCCATTCCCAGACGCCAAAATCGAACAATCATCAGCGTACGAGATCAGGGAAACTCCTTCGCTAGTATGCCTGCAAAATAAAATATCATCTAAAGCTAAATTTTATAGTATGAAATTGATTTTGACCTGACCCGACATTGATGGATAAATTTTCGTGCGACTTCAAAAACCTGTCAATACCAAGATAGTCGCGAAAGGGTAATTTTATTTTGAAAAAAAAAAAATTAATTAAAAATAAATGAATTAATTAAAATTAAACGAGTAAAAAACATAATATGTACATATGTATGTATTTTATATTTTGTTGATATAAAAATAAATTAAAAAGTATTCGTTTTTTTTGAAAGAATTAAAATTTAAATTAACATTGTTACTGTTCTTATATAAATTGTTCAGCCGTTTTCTTTATTCAAATGTATTGTTTTATTTTATTGAAAATGTTATTTTAGTTGATATATAAGTTTTATTGTTATTGTTATTATTATTTTTTTATTTTATTTTTTTTTCTGTGGATTTTCTTCGATTTCTGTTTATGCTGAACTCGGTGTTTTAAGGATAATTGAATTCTCCTTGTCATTCTGCACTATCAAGTTCTCAAACCTACAAAAAAAAATTAAACTTTTTTTTCTTACCGGAAAAGAACTCGGGAAATCCAACAGAGAATCGTTATCACTTTTTTAAATTTTTACAATAACTGTGGATAAACACTCCAAACACAAGTTAAATAATACATAGAGGCGCTTACAGCAGATTGCATGTCCATAGATTAAGCTGCATTTATAAAGCAATATGAAGGAAATTGACAAAAAAATATAAATATTTTTAGTAGCAAATGACGTGTTTTTAAATCAATATTTATTATTATATATTGTCAGAAAATAAAGATTTTCATAGATAGTTTGCTGTGGCGAGAACAAAAACAGCAGTGTATTTTGATGAAGAGCTGCCAAAAGGCAATAGAATTAACTAACAAGTCCACGGGAATTGGCTGCGTGGCTGTTCCAAAAATTTGAATTGATTTTTTTTATTTTTTTTATTTATTACTTTGAGCTATGTTGTGAATAATAACACTAATTTCATTACAGCTAAGGGCAATAGACCGAAATAGTTTTATTTCTACTTAATTTAATTTAAATATAAAATATAAACTTTTGTATATGTGCATATGTACATAACTATTATCTTATTGAAAATTCTTGAATGAATGCGTATAAAATTATGTGAGTACTTACGAGCTCTGCCTTTCACGAGCTTCCCGTCGTTGCATTTCTATTGCGGTGGTCGCAATTGTGCGTTTCTTTTCGCCTTAGCCGCCAGCAAAAGAGTAGATTTTGAGTTGTCGTTGAAAAAATTCAATAGTTGCAAATATGTATGTATGCAAAATAGCCACCGAACCAAACAATTGGTTAGTGTGAGAAAAAGTGCTTGTTTATAGATTCCAACAAAAAACAAATTCTATTGTTCTCTATTAACGTAAACACGTGAAATGTAAATTACAACCACTGCAGAGTTTGGATTGGTATCGAACTAGAATAACATTTATGAATTACAATGTTTGTAGGCCCACGCACGCACACGCACTCATTTACTCATATTCCAGGCCACACGAATCCTTACGCAATGTTGTAAACTCACAGATATACATATATTTTTTTTGCGTTTGTTTTTTTATGCGTTATTTTCGTTTAACGGCTGTCGATTACATTCACAGGTTTGCATGAAGTCAATTGCTTAGGGCGGGCGCGTGTTGCTTGTTAGTAGCATGCGTTGAGTTCGATTTTATATTTAGAACAGAAAAGCTCCGATTTTACCACAAAGTTTTAAGACAAAGGATATTGTTTTCGTCCGTTAACGCTTTGAATTTATTTATAAAGTTTGCTGTTGTTGTTGTTGTTTGTAAGTCGCTTCGGTGGGTTCCAACCTAACGAGGCTGTCACTGCCTGGTGTAGTTATGATCTGCTGCCGTTCCTCTCTTTAAGAAAATGCGGTGCACCCGTGCGCTGTCCTTATAGCTCTACGTGGATGGTGTGCGGTTTAAGCAGAATATCAAAGCGTTATTTAGCTGTGGCTATATACGGAGATGTTTGTTGTTTTTTTTTTTGATTTTCCTCTTCCTCGGATCAAGTGAAATTGCTGCCGCTTACACTGATTTGCTATTACTGTGGCGGCCAATTAATTATCTGATTATTTTTAACCGCATATTTCTTAATATTTACGAAATGAAAACTTCACACAAATATAAAAAAATCGTGTATGCCAAAAAAAAATATTGTTGAGCAATTTCAGTTTGACAGATTTGTGACGCTGGTCTGCTGTGAATCGTTTGCATTTATTGTCAGCAAGCAGATTTTACAATAGTTGTTTAATGAACACCAGTTTTAATTATGTAGATATTGAAATACACCAAATTTTCCAAATTCCATATCTTCTTGTTTTGTGCAAGAAAATAGTAATTTGATTTTTTTCACAACAAAAAAAACAAACAACACAGCAATCGAATTAGGTCTATTGAACGGTTGTTTCGGAAAGGCTTATTGCTCGTGAAATTAAATGTAATTTAATTAAAATATCTGAAAATGCAGTTAACAGCCAAACGTGCACTATGTCAACCTTCTATTGTTGGGTATTTTTATATTTTTTATGAAGCACACAAATCGGGAACCAACCGTCTCGAAAGCGCACCAACGCGAACACCCACCTCTCTGTTTTGTTTTATTGTTATATCGTTACTATTTAATTCCAGTTGCATATGTACATACGTATATACATGTGTTTTATTTGGTTAGGTTGTGTTTCAACTTAGTCGAAAATTTTTTAGCGAAACAAAATTTCTATTTTGCTTTTTTTAATAACGTTTCATACGCACAGACGCATAAACGACCCCTGCAGTCGCAGGCATTGATTAGCAATTGCTCCCTAAAATTGCATCTCACACTAATGTCGATTTAAAGATTTCGCTTAATTGTATGTAATTTCGGAACTACTACGTCGGGTAGCTTTTAGCTTGTTTTAATTATTGAATATTTTTATATTCCTCTTTTTGTAGACATCTCAGTTTATTTAACTAATTCTTGCAATTTATGAGAAAACAAATGCTTAAGCATATTGTTTAACGACTTGGTGTGGGTTTTTGCTGACTATGTTGTTTTTGATCTGTAAAAAAAAAAGCAATACATATACATAAAATTATTACAATGTTCATATGAGGAGGCTTAAATCAGGTAGAATATTAACAAGGTACATATCATAAACTTTATAACGGTTACACATAGCAATTTCCGGTACAGAAATTTCTGTTTTACTACATTTAGTCTAATTTCCCACTTTAATGAAAAAGAAAATAGTGCATTTAGGGTTTACAGCTTTATAAGGTAAAATGTATAACTAAAATAAACCAATAATATTGGCCTAAAATACAAACCTAATTTCCACAAAATTTCAAGAAAATATTCTATATTATTGCAACTCATTGATCCTGCTTCAAATCTCATAAACGATGGACGTTTAATTTAATACTATCGATTTTGGTGGTAAAATTGGTACCGTTGGAAAGCTAGAGATCCCCTTTTCAAAAGTACCCACTTCTAGGTGCGGGAACCTTCCAGTTTTTAAGATATTTAGTATTCAAGTTTTTTCATTTGCTTAGTAAACAACACTATATATGTATGTATATATTATATTACACAAATCAACAAACATAGACTTAGACATGGGTATATAGAATTCTCCTTTCTATGTTGCCGGAGAAGAGGGGCGGAACTTCTTCCTTCGGCCACGCTTAGAGATTATAACCCTTACTTTCGTAGTACGAGTTCCAATACCCCGCGCCCACCGAATTTATTTAAAACGGTACACGCTTTTTATGTTTTTCAACCATTGGCTTTTTTTGCTAAAGACAAAATGCAGCTTCAGATTCAAATTCTTCGTCCTCGGAAACCCCCGAAAGGCTTTTGAAGGTAGAAATGTTTGCTTTTAAACCAATTTTAATTTTCTTAAAGGTCAAGGATCAACTAAAATGAAAAAGCGTTTAAAATCGCCAAACTAGTAAAACTGAGGAATTACTTTTCTAGCCTTCTCTGGACTTGATGGTATGCTGCTGCACGTTTGCTCAAAAATATAGATACCCTCAGATCCTCGGTAGTTTTTTCTGTAGACCCATTGTTAAAGAAATTCACGATATATACGGTACGGCAATTTTTTACCGTTGACATACATACGGTAAAATTGCCGTGGATTAACATTAAAGCTACCGTGGCGCGTGTGAATAGACCCTGCCAAACCCGAAACGATGGATTACTGAAAAAATTCAAAAAACAATTTAATAATATACATATGAAGTACATATCGTCACCTGAAATGGAAAAACCGTAACAACATTGCAACTGAAATTGAAAAAGTCGTGACTAATATTTTTATTTATTTTTTCATAAAATTAGCCCTGTTCGCGTACGCACTATCCAGTAAATCCAGTACTAATTTTACTAGTCTTTTCTGGATGTCATTTTCGTGCGCAAAAACTTGCAAGAAACTAGCAAAAGGGGGGAAATTGAGAGAGCAAAAATTACAGCTGAACTTGCAAGTTTTACCGGATTTTTACTAGCAACTATTTGCTAGTAAGAAAAACAGCAGATGGCATGATGCTTAATGTAATTCACAGAGTTGCAATTGACAAAATAAACCTATTTAAATACATAGGTGCAATCCCGTATTCCTCGGACTAAAACTAGTAAACATTCGCTCAGAGCGAGAGAGTAACATTGAAAAGTACGGGATCGCTTTCTAGTAAAAAATGGTAACTTCTGTCAACTTCAACATAACCTCCAAAATGGTTGTAAATTTTTGCTTATTATGTATGTAAACACACTCAGTTCACATATGTAAATAACCAAAAATACTTTAAAACCAGAGTGCACTTTTCTTTTGTTTATAATTTGGTTGCCAAACACACTACAGCAGATCGTTTGACACATTTACCAGAATTTACCAGCAAAAAATTCTCGGACTAAAACTGGTAACTTCTGGCAGAGAGAGAACCGTATTTACTCTCTTTTTTGTCCTCTCAATAGTCAGAGAACCGAGTACGGGATCGATTTCCAGTAAAATCTGTCTGATTCTGACTGGTCTGGACTCGTACGGGATCGCAACATATAATAAGATGGAAAATACTAGTTTTCTAAGAAAATTGCATCGGAAAATAACAAATTAATCAGCTGTTCATAAAACTACTTAGCAACTTCTTGCTGGTTTTACGTTTTCGTACTTTCTTACATATTTCACTCATTGGGAGTAAATATTGGCTTAAAGCTTAAACAGACGGCAGCGCTGATCCCGATTAACTCGGTCTTAATCCGGATCAACAGCAGTTAATTCCCGAGCTGATCCGGATCAACGCTGCCGTCTGTTTATGCTTTTACTCACCGAAATTTGGTTACTGGCAACTTACTGAATAGTTTTTGCTGGAGAATACGAAAACACAACTATTATGTGGGAGTTGTAATTTGATCATGTAAAACAAAAATTGAATTTTGAATTTTTTATTAGTTATTACTAGGGATCATGAAATTTTTGTTTAAAATTGCATTCAATCGTTAGTGCATAATTTGCAGTAAATGCCTGATTTTGCACATTTTGCAAAAAATACCCGATTTTGCATACTTCATGAGAAAATTCGCAATAGTTTTGCTAAAACACACCCTTGCCGATGTACGCTAAAGTAAACCGATGTAAGTCTTGTCCTGGTATTTACAGAATGATACACTTACCACAAAAGAAAAACATTACATTTTGTTTTTAGAAAATACTTAAAACACTTGTAAATGTACATACATATGTATTACTCCCCTTGTTATGGGGAAAATTAAACAAATATCAAAAAAAAAAACTGTCTATTATCTCAAGCTTAATCAAAGTGTATTATAAACATGTTGAGCTTAATTACATTTCGTTTATATTGTCAAACGTTACCAAATCTTTAACCATGCACTAAAACACTGGAATATTTTTTATTTGCCGAAAACCATATCAGCAGTATACAACGTGAATGAGATAGACAGAAGGATTTTGTGATGCGTTGCATTTCATTTCCCATTGATTTTCACACTTTTGTTGCAGTGGCAAATTGGTGCCGCCACTTCCCGACGCAGAAAACAATTACGTACGAAAATACAAGTAGATATGCAAAAAATGGGGTTCATAGTTATTGTAAACACAATTTTAAATTGCATAAAGTGAAAATGCGATGGCCAAGATACAAGAAGTTACTACGACAACGTAAACGACAGGGTGCTCTTTTCAGTTCAAATCAGCACAGCTTTTTGTCGTTCTCATAACTTTTGCACATACATATATACATACATACGTGCATGAACTGCTACACATCATTGCATCACAAGTAAATATATAAATTTTCTATTACATTGGGCAAAATATGATTCCACCCTATCGGAAGTGGTGCAGGTTATTTAACATTAGTAAATATGCTAAAGATATATTTTAAACCATTTTAGTCATGGAAAATCTCACATCTTTACACTTTGAGGTCACTAGGCATATGTATGTATATTACTCGTCTAGAAGCAGGAAAAATCACCAAATCAGACAATCTTTTTTGAATGATAATTTCTCACTCACTTGCACGAAGCTGACCGTAGTAGTAAAGTAGTATTTAATTAAAACTACTTGTTTTAAATAGTATTTATTTGATAATTTTATGCCACAAAACACCAAGAAAAAACCGTCTCGTCGACGGCCAACCAGCCGCAGTGCAGCTATACAACGAGAAGACGAGATAGAAACAGCCGATTTTACTCGTTTATCAAAGATATTTTGAAATTGGCACCCTGTGGGCAACAACAAACCAAACTGCAATGATTGCCACAAATGTAAATACTACGCTAGTGCGGCTCTTCGGCCTGGGCAATTGCTTATACAGCGAACCGCCTTAGTGCGAACGAGTCCACAGGTGTGCAGTGAAAAAAAGCAAACAGCAAACAGTAGGAAGACAGACCGAATTAGCTGCTAAATTCGAGAAATTTTACTTCACAAAATTGCATTATGTGAAGTGACCGGCTACTAAATGGAAAATTAGTTAATTGTCTTGTACAAATTAAACCAAGTTTCAATGGCTATTGTAAGCTAATTAATAACTTTTCGAAATGTATAATAACTGTCCCCGTAAAATGAGCTAATTTTAATTTGCAAACCCATATTTTTCGAACTTATAATTCCTTGGTCGCGGATGGTCACTGTGCATCAAAATATATACAAAAACTTAATTCAGTGCAATGCAA